CTGCCGTGTGTTAGGGGCGAGATCCAGAAAGGGGGCTCGGGGGGTGGGTCGGGGCCTTCTCCGGGGTGTCTCTTGCCTCCGGACTCTGCTGCCTCGACAAAAACGTTCCCCACCGTTTGTAGTGGAGATGCGAGCAAGCCACGGTTAGATGGTTACAAAATGGACCTCTGGGTAGGTGGTGTCCTAACTGCGGGTCCTGGCATGCCTGGTATCCACACTTCTTACTAAACAGCTGGGCTGCCTCCGGACTCTGCTGCCTCGACAAAAACGTTCCCCACCGTTTGTAGTGGAGATGCGAGCAAGCCACGGTTAGATGGTTACAAAATGGACCTCTGGGTAGGTGGTGTCCTAACTGCGGGTCCTGGCATGCCTGGTATCCAGACTTCTTACTAAACAGCTGGGCTGTCGAGGAGTTGACTTTGTTTCTTCTGGGGTAACGTTTAGGCTTCTAATTTACCCCTGTCTCCAGGTTGTAAAACCTGGATGCTCTGTTTGATACCTTCGGTGAGGGTGAAGATAATATTATCTTACGGTCAAGGGGGAAAAAAGCATGCCTTTTCAGCTGCAGTATAAATATTAATGTAATTCTGAGTTCTCATACCTTAAAAAAAAAAAAAAAAAGGCTGAATAGGGTTTCTTCAAATTTTGAGGTGGTCTACCTCTGGCCTAAAAATGACCTTGAGTATTTCTAGGCAATAGGTATCTAGTTAAGAAAGCTATAATGTAATGAAAAAACATTTGATATCAAGGTGTAATGTTTAAATTCTTTACTTGTGTTGTTTGTTTCCATAACACAGCAATAGAGTTTAACATAGTTAAAAAAATAATAAAAAACCATGCACACATTTCACTTGTGTACCTGAAATTGGCTTTCATGTATTTCTTTTTTTCTCATAAGGCGACTGTCACTGTTGTTTGAAATGTGTTAGTGCTTTATTTTATGGAAGTGGATGGAAGAGGGTTGCCTAGTTCTGATTTGACCAGCGATACTTTTCCCACAGAAGAAAAAATATTTTTGGAAGCCCAAGCCTTAAAATGGCCAGGAAGAGACTTACAAGCAATGTGTCAGTAAGCTTGCTTGTCGGTTAGTCGTCAGTGGAATTCAATTCTAAAAAAGTCAGTGCTTTTCCAGCTAAAGCACAGCTAGGCGTAGAATGAGCATTAACAGCTTGAGTTCTTTGTGCAGGAGGGTTCGGTTAGACAGAGGCCTGCTCATGTGAGTCAGGTTACCTGCCAGGGGCTTCAACAGAAGCACACCGCAAAGGTTCTATAGCGTGTGCCTGAAAAAGATTATTTTTATGGATTGTGCAGGTGTGTGTGAATGTTCTTATATATATTTGTACGTGGGTGTCTCTTACCTAACTCAGCAGCCGATAGGTTTGCTTTTTGTTTTGTGTTCAGGTATTATTCTCAAGATACTACTTTTTCTCTTTTCAGGCTTTGATTAGTGTTTTAGACTCATAACACACATTTCTCTGGAGCTGATGTTTTCCTAACACTTTCAGCTTGGCTTAAAAAGCTACTTCGCTGGAATGTTTTAAAGGGTTAAAAACCCTCTAGGATATGAAGTTAATTTAAATTAATTGAAGGAAATACTTCTGGCCTCACCAAAGAAATAACTGGAATCATGGATCAGAACAACAGCTTGCCACCCTACGCTCAAGGCTTAGCCTCCCCTCAGGTAAAAACAAATGATTTAATATGCAGCTGTGATCTGAATTTCTTTGTGAAAGTGTTTTCCGTTTCTTGCATGTAAGTTCAGGTTTTTTGTTTGCGGATCTGAAAAATTCTGCGAGGTATAGAAAAGTACTAGTATAAAGCAGAATTTTAAAACCATCAATTTGTATATCCAGCGGTATAAGAAGCATGCAGATACATGGGATTCCTTTAAGTTGAAACATGACTGACAAGTTGGAAATATTGATTTAATTTTGTTGATGGCCCTTTAAACTAACTTATGCGTAATGGGCTGTAGCTGTGCTATGAATGCATTTGGTACGATGGGCACAGTCTTTGTTCAAACAATTTCAAGTTAAATTGTGGGTCAAAGTTGAGACATGCTTGCGAGGTAGCGTGAGAAGCGTATCAGCATCACTAGCTGGACATGAACAATGCTAGAACTGACAGATCCCTGGAGGTAATATTTTATTCTGTAGAAGAACTGCATTTCCAAGGGCTTTCTGGTTTTGGCGAGTTACTGCTGTATGCCTCAGGTTTGATGCGATCAACTTACATTGATTTATTTTTAGACTCCTCCTGAAAACTTTTTCTCTTAAAAACAAAGTGGAATCAACAGGATCTGTGGTTTCTGTTTCATGCTTTCTTCTGTAGGGTGCAATGACTCCAGGAATTCCAATTTTTAGCCCGATGATGCCATATGGCACAGGACTGACACCACAGCCTGTCCAGAGCACCAACAGTCTGTCCATCCTAGAGGAACAGCAGCGGCAGCAGCAGCAGCAACAAGCAGCGCAGCAATCTACATCACAGCAAGCGACACAGGGAACATCTGGTCAAACCCCCCAGCTCTTCCACTCACAGACTCTTACCACAGCCCCTTTACCGGGAACTACACCTCTGTACCCCTCTCCGATGACTCCGATGACTCCAATAACTCCTGCAACACCGGCATCCGAGAGCTCTGGGATAGTGCCACAGCTGCAGTGAGTGTCCCACGTGTTAGTGCAGCACGTCCTTTCTCAGATAGCCCTTCAAAGAGTTAGGACCAAAGCTACATCAGGAATTGGGTACTGCATTTTGGTGGAGAGGGAGGTCCTGAGAATTTATGGGTCTCCTCTAGCGATATGAGTAATTTTTGCTTTTATTTTTAGCTTAGCTTTGTTCCTAAACCACTTAGTAATATAAACAGTTTCTTAGTGATTTGTCAACCATACATCTTTTAAGCATACCAGTGGAGGATGTTATATATGTCTTCATTTAGCACCGTTGTAACTTTTAACTCTGTGCACTTTAGGAGTTCATCATGCTTTAGCTATAAAGTAGTCTGGGTTGATAATCTGGTATTTCAAAATATGTATACCTTGAAACATATTCTCATTTGTAATTTACTGCATACTTGTGACCTGTTCGCAGAAAAGCAAATAGCTCCACTTTGCAAACAGTTCCACTCCACTGTGCGTAGAATTTTGTTAGCGAGGTATTAAAGCAGAATACAGGAACAATCACCGCTGAAAGGGAATTAGAAGGGTAGAGGGGAAGAAACTAGTTACTAGTCTAGGAGCTAGAGCTGAGTTGTACTTAATATTCCACGTTCCCTCTTCTAGTTCATGGCTACAGCTGAGTTTGTGGTGAGGGGAAAAAAAACCTAGAACTAGGTATAAAAGTATTTTCACCAAACTTTAGTTTTAAAGAGACTTCTACAGCAAATTAGGGAAGGCCCAACAAGAAATGGTTGGTAACGTAAATTTTGCACGGAAAGAGTAGTTCCTCGTATTTCTTTTTTTTTCCCTGTTGAGGACCTTTAGATTTCAGGGTTTTCCCAGAAAACACGTTTCCAAGGAAATGTTGCATCTAGGAACTTCTCTTAAACTTTCTAGAGACCTGCTTTCCTGTCGCCTGGCAATGGGTTTACCTCCTGGGTCATTCCCACTTAGTCCTGCACCTCTTCTTCCTCCTTGAAGGGCATACCAAGGAAAATTTCAGATGGTACTATTGCTACCTCATTTTCTCCTGTTTCCAGCAGCTTCCCTGATTGTGGTGGGGGCTCTCAGCATCAAGGATTTTTCCTGCCAAACTGAAATAGAGATTCTTCTCATGAGACACTTTTCATAATAGCTGGCGGATAAGGAGGAATCGGCAATCGTGCCTTAGGAGCTACTGCCCTACAAAAGGAGGTTCCTGAGCCAAAACACTGCTCAGTGCTCCTGTCAGTAGGAAAGATGTCATTCAAACTCACTTGGAGAAACAAATTTAAAAGTAAAACACAAAAACCAAAATTATTCAAGCATGGTTAAAAATGGGGAAGATGCATGAATTCTTTATTGTCTTTTTAATGTATTTCTCTGAACTATCTTCAGGAATATTGTGTCCACGGTGAATCTTGGTTGCAAACTTGACCTAAAAACAATTGCGCTTCGTGCCCGAAATGCTGAATATAATCCCAAGGTAAGAGAAATGTATTAGAGTTCTTCCTAGAACATATATGTCAAAGGCACAGGTTGTGGGTATAGTTTGCTGAAATAGATTGAAAAACCTTCCTACTATAGATGCAGTTTTATACTGTAGTTAAAAAAGAAATCTTTAATAAACTTAGAACATTCTGTCAAACTGGTAAAAAGCAGTTTTATACTGATGTAGCTGTGTTTTACACCAGGTTGTAATTTGGTAGATTTAGAAAGAACACAGCATATTTAGGAAGAACCTAACCAACAGTGTAATGCACTGGCACATTGTTTGTTGTGGAGCTGGCCTCTGCTACTATTCATATGGGCATGTTTGTTCGTAGTGCTCAGAAAGTTCCTTTTTCATATTACTGTGAAATGTCTGATGATGAAGTCTTGTTCCCTGTCTCCCAACAAAGAGAAAGGAAGGAAGAATTCAACTCCTGGGCTCCTGCCAGAGCCACAGTTGTTCTGTATACGCTGTGGCTTCCTCCACCTGGCTGCTCCCTTGGAATTATTGTGGTCGCAGCGCAGTCACTGGGTTTTTACAGTCTTGCTTCCCCTCTGAGCTCCATTCCTACACGTTGTCCCCCAGTACTCCCGCCACCTCCTTGCTCCCGATGGCTAGGTTCGGTGGAACAGCAAAATGAAATTAATTTTTTTTTTTTTGTTTCGACTTCTAAGTTGACTGCTGCTTCTAAATAGCAGTTTGTTAAACCGTGGATTTTTTTTTGTAGCTCAGGAAACTTTGAACAACAGCAGAGGACCTGGAGCATTGAATTGAGAAAATCATGTTGCTTCATTTTTCATTTGGGTGGCTCCTTTTGGAAATGTTATTTTTGCAACCACAGTAGTTGGACACTATTTCTAATAAAAGTTTAGATGTTGTGTAGTTGAATTGACTTGCCTTGGGAAGGCTTCAGTTTTCCTGGGGTGTGTGGGGTTTTTTTGTTGTTTTAATATTTGGGATTTTGCTACAGTTTACCTGAACTCTGCTCTCAAAGATTAAAGCACGCATGCAGGCATATGTGATAACTGTTACTGTAAGTTTATATCGGCGATGCTGTTACATAATGGCATGTGAGTAAGATATTAGCGCAGCAAAAATTTGAGCATGCCATGGTAACTCTTAAGGTAGGGGTAGGTGGCTGTGTAAAACTTGTAGGCTAGAAAAATCAATATGAAATGCTGTTTTCCACAGTGGAGAGAAAGAAGGGTTATGTAACACACTCCTGACTTTTCGTCAGTACATTCATCTATCAAAGAAAGATGCTGCTTGGTGTATTATTTAAGCCATAGTTTGACAAACATGCTGTTAGGTAACCCACGCTACCGCCTTGGTTATGTCAGCAGAACAGTTTATGGCACTGCATGGTGAGCTAGTCCAAGTTAAATATAACAGGCAAACAGGGGTTTGTGTGTGTGTATGCCCACATCAGTTTCCAGTATTTCTTGCTTCAAAGAGTTTAAGAATGTTTGGAAATGCAGGCAGAGGTGTTACAGTACTTAGAATAAAAAGCTAGAGCTGACCGGGCTGCTGTGTTCTACTGTGGTAGCTGAGGTGAGTTCTGTTTACACGGAACTTTGATCTCCAGCTGTTCTGTTTGCTGGTATTCTAACACTGTCCAGTTTTTTAAGACACGGAAACAAAACAGATCATAAAATATCTGCAGATAGGTAGTCTTCCATCCTGCTTATAACAGATCAAATTTCAAGACGTGGAGGGATTTTTTTAATTTATTTTTAAGATTGTCTCTTGCTCTGTTGCAAATGTTAGCATTATTTATATGTTGCATATACAGTAATGAGAGATGAGCTTAGTAAAATAGGAATGCAATGGTAAATATCCTTCCTGTCTGACTCTACCTCTCAGTGTGTGTGTTTGAAGCTACTTAAGATTTAAGCATTTCAAGTAAATTTTGCGTGATCCGTAAGTATGTTTGAACTTAGTACTTCTTTGCAATACAGTGTAAATTGCTACTTAGATTATGCAAATTTGATTTTAATGTAATGATTACAGTAATATATCACTTATAGTCTCAACGCTCACATTTCAGCGTTTTGCTGCTGTTATTATGAGAATAAGAGAGCCACGTACTACTGCACTTATATTCAGCTCTGGAAAAATGGTGTGCACAGGAGCAAAAAGGTATGTTTAGGCATTACAAGCAAACTAATTCAGGCTGTCTTTTCTCTTGTACCATGATGCTTTAGGAGTACTGTAGTTTGTATACAGTATTTGTATGTATACAGCAAAGTTGTACAGGTACAGCTAAGCTTGCTTCCCAGTTATTTCAAATAAGACTAACGTATGTTTCTTCACAAAATGTTTTTTCATGACTGAAAGGACTTCCCTATGAAAGGGCAAATGGTAGTTCTGTTTCCAAAGCTCTTTCATACAGTCTGATAAACTGGTTTGCAGAGGTTGTTATATTCACTTTTTTTAGCCTTGCAGTTAACTGGGGTTTTTTTTCTAATAATTAAAAATGTCAATGACTATGCACTGGAACTGCTTAAACTGTAGGGGCGGTGGCAGGGGAAGAGTGTTTTTATATTTGACTAGTTCCATTCATCACAGGCCAAGAGCTCCAAGTCTCCGGTCCCTGTAGTCTGATCTGTTCTTAACACAATCATTGAAGCATAAGAATTGAAAACTAAACATAAGCTTAACTCCAGTGGGCAGGAGAGAAATTCTGCTCTGAAGAAGTCTGTTAGGAATCCAGAAGGAATAAGCTAATGAGCAGAGATGAATGAACAGAGCTGTACAGGAAACGCTTTCTTTGCTTGGCAACGCTTGAAGTTCCAAGTTGTCTACTCTGTGTTAGGAGCAACCAGATCCTCAGCTGTTTACAAAACTGAAGCCAACTGAGTTCTGCAGCAGCATGTAAGGCCGTGCAGCTCCGTCAAACCCAGGTTTCAGTGCCTGGGCTGAATCCATCAGAGGATTGGGAGTTTGAGAGAAATACGCATTTTCTAGCAGTAGTAGTTCAAAGTTGTTCTACACTGAAAACTTAAGTAACGGTTTTCATGTCTCATTAGAGGGACTCAGGTTGACATTTTAAGAGTGTGAAATATGTAGATTTATAATTTACTGTTTTCTGCCTCATGAACAGCGAATACAACATTAATGGTGTTCAGGATCCTAGTACCAAAATTAGCCGACAAACCAGTGCTAGTTGTTAATTTTGGTTGTAAAAATTTTGCATGTGACCTTCCCCTACCCCTCAACACAGACATTTTTTTTTTTTCCCAATTAAATATTCGCGGTTTAATGCTGTTTGCTTCAAGTAATACTTAACTAAGGAAATAATACGGATATCCTTTTCTCACTTCAGTGAGGAGCAATCCAGACTGGCAGCAAGGAAGTATGCAAGAGTTGTTCAGAAACTGGGTTTTCCTGCAAAATTCTTGGATTTTAAAATTCAGAACATGGTGGGCAGCTGTGATGTGAAATTTCCCATCAGATTAGAAGGATTGGTACTCACACACCAGCAGTTCAGCAGGTAAAAAAAGGCTTGCTTATGCTTCGTTCTTGCTCTATATTGACTAGCTTAGAGAGTGACATCTCTTTAGATTATTCCCTTGCACCAGAGGGAAACCTGCATCGTTGTTCCCATCGCTGCTCTGCCTCGGGTGTAACTGAGGTTGCCCAGTACGAACGCATCAAAGTGATCGATCTTCCCTGCTACTCTGCAAATTTCAGTGAGGCCTACATCTGCTCTGCCCATTCCTGCGGTCCTGCAGATGAAAGACTGGATGGAACATGTGTCTGCCAGCATGTTTAAACACTGTCACTCTCTTCTCTTACAGCTATGAGCCAGAACTGTTTCCTGGCTTAATCTACAGAATGATCAAGCCAAGAATTGTTCTCCTTATTTTTGTTTCTGGAAAAGTGGTTTTAACTGGTAAGTGAAGACAGTGTCTTACTCCAGTAGGTTAGATTTAGACTCTATTACAGAGAACACACAGTGATACCAGAGGTATGTAATTTGCTAGGTGCTTTCCTTTAGAGAAGACAGTACTGAGAGAGAACAGATAGTACAGTATGTGGATGAGAACGTGCAAAGCAAACCACACGTTTGGCTAAATCCATATAAGCAATGGTCACAAATCCTAATCAAATATGCAGGTGCCCAAAAAGCTGTAAGAGTGCAGGTAATGTTTCTGGCAAAATCTGAAAGTCTGTTTCTGTGTGCTGTGTGTGTGTGACTGAGCTAACTGTTCTTTGACATTTTTTTTTCAATTAAATATTCGCGGTTTAATGCTGTTTGCTTCAAGTAATACTTAACTAAGGAAATAATACGGATATCCTTTTCTCACTTCAGTGAGGAGCAATCCAGACTGGCAGCAAGGAAGTATGCAAGAGTTGTTCAGAAACTGGGTTTTCCTGCAAAATTCTTGGATTTTAAAATTCAGAACATGGTGGGCAGCTGTGATGTGAAATTTCCCATCAGATTAGAAGGATTGGTACTCACACACCAGCAGTTCAGCAGGTAAAAAAAGGCTTGCTTATGCTTCGTTCTTGCTCTATATTGACTAGCTTAGAGAGTGACATCTCTTTAGATTATTCCCTTGCACCAGAGGGAAACCTGCATCGTTGTTCCCATCGCTGCTCTGCCTCGGGTGTAACTGAGGTTGCCCAGTACGAACGCATCAAAGCGATCGATCTTCCCTGCTACTCTGCAAATTTCAGTGAGGCCTACATCTGCTCTGCCCATTCCTGCGGTCCTGCAGATGAAAGACTGGATGGAACATGTGTCTGCCAGCATGTTTAAACACTGTCACTCTCTTCTCTTACAGCTATGAGCCAGAACTGTTTCCTGGCTTAATCTACAGAATGATCAAGCCAAGAATTGTTCTCCTTATTTTTGTTTCTGGAAAAGTGGTTTTAACTGGTAAGTGAAGACAGTGTCTTACTCCAGTAGGTTAGATTTAGACTCTATTACAGAGAACACACAGTGATACCAGAGGTATGTAATTTGCTAGGTGCTTTCCTTTAGAGAAGACAGTACTGAGAGAGAACAGATAGTACAGTATGTGGATGAGAACGTGCAAAGCAAACCACACGTTTGGCTAAATCCATATAAGCAATGGTCACAAATCCTAATCAAATATGCAGGTGCCCAAAAAGCTGTAAGAGTGCAGGTAACGTTTCTGGCAAAATCTGAAAGTCTGTTTCTGTGTGCTGTGTGTGTGTGACTGAGCTAACTGTTCTTTGACAGCTTGGCTGCTGCCATTCTCCTTTGATACAGCAGCCAAAGCAGGGAAGATACCCGAGCTCTAGGACCTCCTCAACCTCAGGCACTCCACCTACACCCTTCCTTTTCCCCTCCTGCCGAGTCTTACTTACGAGAAAAAAACCCACAAGCCTCGTAGACGAAAGAAGGAGCGTGTCCCTGTAGTATGGCAAGTGGTGGGCCTCTGCAGCGGTCCCCATTGCCAGACCTTGCTCCCCAGATGTTCACGCTCTGGAAAAAAGCTCCACCAGTTAGGCCTTTCTGCAGAAACATCCTGTAGGGCTGTGCTTTGTAGCTGGGTCTCCTGCAGAAATTATGCACAAAAAAATCCCATTTGCAAGTATAGCATAAGCACAAAGATGCTAATGAAAGTTTTACCAGTTATCAGAATAAACAATGAGAAGGCTGGTAACGTATGCTCTGTATGAAAGGCGTATTTAAAAAAAAAATTGTAAAAATAGGTTTTTATGGATATGCATAGGTTTTATATAGAGTCACATTCAAATAAACATTCTAAAAGCTCAAATTAAGTATTTGACGAAAGCTACAAACTAACTTAATTCCCTCTCTTTTTCTAGGTGCTAAAGTACGAGCAGAAATCTATGAAGCATTTGAAAACATCTATCCTATTTTAAAGGGATTCAGAAAGACAACGTAACAGTTTCTACATCTTTCAGAGAAATCAGGGGTATATTTTAAAAGGTATTGCGTATGGCACAGCAGTAACAAGAGACGGACTTCCGGTGAAACTGCAACACCAGGAATTGGACTATTTCCCAGTCAGTGCCTACTTCCCTGATGCTCAAGGGGAACTGTATTATTATGTTTACTGAGTTACTGTGAGTTGCTTTACTGGGCTGTTCCTGGAGCAGTCCCTCCAAGTTTTATTTATGTTCTAGCTTTTAAATAGTTTTAATGCCAGTTCTATTACTAGAAAATGCATAAGTTGGTTTAAAAGACAAATGCAACTGTGTCACTCAGTGTATAAACCACTTAAATTGCCATGTATATATGTTTTAACTTTCTTCCGTAAGACCATGGTTTTTATAATTTTCAGAACTTAAGCTTTTAAATTTTTTCAATTTTAAATTTCTTCAGTGCCAGACACATTCCCTCTTTCCAGTATTAAGCAAGACAGAATAAATTTATTAATGAAAATGGCTCACTGTACATATATATATAATATATACCTTCCTTCTCTTTCCTCCTTCAGCTCCACATGTACAATAAACCCTGTTTATACAACTATGGGAACTGTCTTAATGAATTTTAAAATTACCCAGCTGGTAGAGTGAAATACATTGAAAACTTCTTTTTTAATTTAATCTGTATTTTTCAATAGCACATGCACTAGTGTAAGTAAGTGACTTGTCATTTTGAGAGAATCTAACAATGCTCTGGCTTGCTTACCAGCAGTCATATCCTTGGCAACACCTAGCGTGAATATTTCTAGCATGTTAAAGCAAAAGAGATGACTGGTTAAAGAAGTTTGTGTTCAAGTATGTGTTGGCTCGTGTTCAACAGATGAGATTTATGCAAGTCTTAAATAACTACACTTGACTGGATTGGAACAAAAGATCCCTGCTTAGCTTCTAGAATTTCTTTAAATTGCTACTTTTGTATTTTACCAACTATGACAGTCTCACTATATTAGTGTTCCTGTAAAACGTCAAAGCCCTTCCAACTAGAGTCAGTGTGTACATAATCTTCCCTCTGAACTGTGCTTGAAGATTAATGGGCTGAGAACTAAAAATAAACTTTTTTTTCCTCCAGTAAATTTCCAGTAATAGTAATCTCCTTTCTAGGACTTGCACGTTCTTTCAAACAGCTTTTATCTAAAACTAACCCCAGTGTAACCGCGGTCTATTTACTAAGTTGGTGTTTCATTCCAGGCAAAATGAAGTTTTGGCTGGCTTTGCTACTGCTCCGTTTGCAAATCCTAAGGGACCTTAATCCTTAGTCTTCTGTGCTCCCCCCATAGTGGCGTACACTGGTGTTTCTCCAGGCCTTTTAATAATTGGTTTCATGGATCTTATCAGAAAGCTGTTGTTTAATAACATAGTTTTGCCAGGGTAAGTTCAGGATACCCAAACACTGTATCATCGCCTTCAGTACCACACCACTCTGTGCTGTGAGCTAATGAACATTCCCATGTGTTCTTGAACATAACTGTAGACTGTCCATGCTTTTGTAGGACCCTGAACTATTACCAACTTACCTGCAAAAAAGCTTGGAGCCTTAAGTAACTGTGGGATGGTTTTCAATAAAATCGGTCAAGGTGTACTATAGTGACTTAAGATCCTGTTTGCTGTTCCATGACACGTACCAAGGCTTAAAACTACCCTTTGAGAAATTAGGTTCTGTGATGACCAAACAGCTTATATGTAAAGCATTCCCTCCCTGCTCATTTGAGTATTCCCAGCTTCTAAATTAATACAAAAAAAAAAACCCAACAGTGGGCCTAGGGCTTTCATAAAATCACCTTCAGAATCACTGGTAAGCAGACATGAACGGTTTGAGCAGGGTAAGGGAATATATGACTGAAAAATTCTACACTGAGACACAAAAAAAAACCCAAAAAGCCTTATCTTTTCTGCAAATGTAGCTATAGCCACAGGAGTAGTTAAGCAACTACCACAGTAAGTTTAGTGTTACAGTTTCACTGTTCTCTTGCCTCAGCTATATGGCGGTCAAATAGCAGAAGAATCCCTGCAGAGGGCACGTATTTTTAAACTTCACCGAAGATGGCAGACTTTTAAGGTACAATTCAGCTTGAAAATCTGCTATAGGCAGTAAGTAACAAGACAAACATATTCTGGTGTGGCTGGCTCTTGTTTAAACTGCTTCTGCAGCAGATAAACCATTTCTGCGCAGGCCTAACTCAGTTAATAGTTTTAAGTCAGATAAAACAATTTTTCTGCATTTTATCTTGAATAACCACTCAATCAGAACATGTAACAACTACCAAGTTAGATTCAGCATACCTTTTGAGAAAGAGAAGCGGATTTAAGTTCCACAGTGGAAGGCTACACAGTTTTGTCTTAGCTATGACTTCTGTACACCTCCTGAGCATAAGCACTCAAGTGATCTTACAGTAGTCTCCTTTTCTCTGTGAATGAATGTTAATTTTTGAGTAGCACAAAGAAAATCCTGACAGACAACAATCCAAGTTCTTGAAGTTCAGTCACCAACAAAAGATACTTTCACCAATCCAAAAATATTTCATCTTTATTTAAACATTCAGAATTGAGACTTGAAGTGAAATTCACTGAACAAATGTTGAAGTAAAAGCTCCTGTGGAGCACGAGAGAGGCTGTCAAGGTCTGCTTTCAGTAGTTTTACCACTGTTACCAGATACACAGTTATCAGTGACCAGTTCAATTACCTGTTTGCAAAGTGCAGAGATGCATTGAAACAAGGCAAGTACTCTTATTTAGATGACTCAAAACTTAGTAACTTGATGGAAGTTAAATATAGCCCGCAGAGAAGTCTTGTTTCCATATGAACTCTTCCAGGTATTCATTTCCCTCACCGCAGTTGTCAGCACAAGTGTACACCACCAGCGTTCCCCAGTCAACGCTCTCTCCGAGGCTGTCAACCTGAAGGTGGTTCAGGAGCTGTGGCATAATCTTCAAGGAAAAACAAGGGTTTAGAGGCAGCTCCTTACCTCTCCCTGCATCTCCTCCCAAAGAAGGGTCCTGCCTTCGTTTATGTTCTTACACCAAAATCCCATCAAAGCTACTAAGTAACACAACAGCTCAAATAAAATAAATTTGGAATTCCCCTAACAGTGTAGATGTACAGGGAATGAAAGGTATGGCCCTACTTATTTTATCTACAGAAGTTTTATTTGACTAAGCGTTGCCCGATTTGTAAGCCTCCTTCCATTTGAAATTACCTTCATAACTATGTTTTGTCTTTGCATAGCATTAAGTGTATTCACCGCACATATGCTTCTAGCATTCAAAATTCTACAGATGAATACTTCCAGCCAGACATATTTCCACTTCCCGTCGTAAGGACTTTTTTTTTTTTTTTTAAGCTTATTTCCCCTCCCGCATCGTAAGGTTTTTTTTTTTTTTTTTAATATACAACACCAGACTCCTATTACTTAAGCAATGGTTCCATATTCACAAGTGCACCATTTTATGGATGGTGCAAATTATCAGATAGGAACCTACCTACCTTCTGTATGTGAAAGTCTTAGAGGAAAAAGCAGTTACGATAGTAAATAAGGGCTCTGTACAATTTAGCACAGTTAGTCTGTAGCAACTTCAACCACCTTGCTCTAATTACAAGCCAAGAACTACACAATTTGAGCCTGTTAAGTCTGAACTACGTTACCTGTATTATCTTTAATGAATTTACATACCTGGAATTCAAAAATCCTTTTGGCACCACATAAACAATTTGGGATATCTTTTTCTTCAGGAATATTTTCACCTGATACCCAGATTGGGCCTTCTCCTCCTCTGCAGTATCTAATAATCTGAAACAGAGCAGAAGTTTAAGTTCTCAAGACCGTCTTTTCATCTCAGTATAAAATTGGTATTTCCTGACGTAGACAAAGCAGTAAGATGGCACAGAAAAAGGTCAGTTCCTTTAAGTAATACCCATGGCAAAGTCTTATCAGTTGCAAACACGGTATTCTAAATAAGACAGGTTCTTTGTATCAGTTTTCTTAACTGTATGAATCATGCAAGTATTCATACAGCATTTTTTCAATGATCCAGGGATAAATTGCTACAATTTGATTTCTCTAATTAAGGGACCCAGAAATGCTAGATCAGGCATTTTATAGCCTTGAGGTGGAGGAACAGCAGATTAACAGATCAGCAGACAGAAGCGTACAGAAAAGTCAGGAACGCAACCCAACTCTTTCCGTTTGCCGTTCTACATCTAAATGCAAGGGGACTGTCCTAATGTCCAAGGAGGAGGTATTTTCAGACATTCATATCCTTTGTTGTTCTGTTACTATCTAAATATTTATATAGCAAATCAGGCATTATCAACAAGAGGACTCTTACGTAGATCAGTCAGTATGGGGACGGTCAGAGAGGGAGGTGATGCACCTACCGCAAACAGAGGAGGGAAGAGACTCACAGTCTCCTACTTTCTGGACATGCACCCTCACCCCTCAACTACGAGGTAAAACATGGAGAGATTTTCTTCCTCCACCACTTTCACGGATTTAGGCCTGTGTTTCCTCTGAATGGAGCCAGGAAGCACGTTTCTGTTTGACAATGTGGTTTTTTTCAGCCTCTTGTGTTAGCAGGAAATAGCACGGCAGGAGATTTCTGTTTTAAATAGTTGAAATTTTAAAGCCATCGCTAATTTCTTCAACCTTAAAAAAAAGCCAAGCCAACCCCCCCATGCAGCTGGCGACTGTGACAGAGCTCCTCTCTGAAGTTTTGGTTCTGCTGAGAAGGAAAGCCAACAGGGCCAAAAGCTGGGGAAGACAGCGATGGTTCACCACCTCCTTTGGTTAGAACCGCTTCACAGGATGGCAGGTCCTCCCCCCACCATGTTGGCTTCAGCGCCCCTGTGCCTTCTCATCCTGACCAATTTCTGTTTGAGAGAGATGAACAGGTGCTAAATTCTTACTTCAGCATGAATCAAGTTCTGCACGTGAGGAAGATGAGGGTATGTTGGTTAAGGTGCGTGGAGGATGAGGAGGCATCCCCACCACCATTTCTAACTGTAGGTATGAAAGGCAGCGAAACATTTTGCAGGTGCAGCAGGACACTGTGCCAGAACCTGTAAGTTCTAAGGCTGCCCCATCTTCTGACCTGCTCTGGTTCGGCAGCTACTCGCTCTTTAAACGTTTGGAAGATCTTGTCTTCTTCAGTCTCATGCTTTGCCATTGCTTCCAATGTCTCTTCATCCAAGGATTGAAACGCTTCACCTAAGCAAGAAGAGAAACGCCAAAGGTTGCAGGCTAATGCAAGACAGCCAAAAATTAAAAACACTATTGTACCTGTAAGGGCATTTTGCTCTCAAGAATCATTCCCAGTGTAAATCACTAAGACTTTTTTTTTTTTTGGTGACATACTAAGATTCAGTCACACACAGATCCATTTACTAGTTTTAGTTGCATTTTAAACATAGGTGTCAGTAGTGGAACGCTGGAAAGGGAAGGAGTTAATCTACCAAAGTTTATGACTCCCAGCGGGTATCGCTGAGGCTGCTGAACCTTTAGAATGTGACATCTGGAAAAGGCCACCTGTGCCGTGCACGTGCCAGACTTCAGTTTCTAGCACTGAAGAGTGTATCTGTTACGCTCCCACATTCACATCAACGTGGGGCACGTATCGAGACAGCTTCAGACCACAGTAAGGGACAGCTGGGAACCCAGCAGCCTTCCCCTGTAATACCACAAGCTCTCCACCCTGGATGTGTGCGAAGCCCATGTGGTGAGCTGCACACGTATCGTGACTTTTTTGAGGAAGGGGGCTGCGCTTCAATTGCTTAATTCAAGGTCTATTAAAATAGCCTCAGAACAGCCTTTTCTTCTAGCACAGAGAAGGACATTTGTTAAGCATTTTCCGTAAATTAAGACAAATTGAACCAAGTCAAGCCGAGATCATCTAACTTAATCTCCTGACTCCAACAGTGTCCAGCAGCAGATGCTCAGGGCCCTGTTTTTCCTCACTTGAGTTGTTCCTTACTGGCGGGAAGCGCACAGGGACACGGTGTAACTCCCAGCTACCTGCAGCTTCACTGCAGCAACAGCCGCTTCAACAGCTCCTGGGGTTGGGGCTTAGTAAGTCTCTCCCCTAAAAGCAACTTCTATTACGGGATGTATACAAAAAACTTGCATCACAAATGACTGTAGATTTAGCCTTTTGTCCCTAGTAGTTAGTATTTTATATTTTAAAGAACGTAATGCAGGCTTCATTAGGAAGAATTACAGACAGCATCTTACTTCTTACCTGCACTGCCTGTAGCTCCGAGTTCCTCTTTTTCTTTGGGGTCCTTTGATGTATCTACAGCTCCTTGTTCATCATCGGGACCTACGCTGCTGTCAGCAGGAAATTCTGGTTCCTCGGGTTCTATCAGAATTTCATATTCTGGAAAAAGGAATTCGTTATGCTCTGGAGTTGCATCCGCTGAGTCATCTACAAAACAGAAAACAGACACCACTTCACAACGTCATCTCACGTTATGCATCCTTCTCCCCAAAAGCTACGCAGCAAACTACATGGCAAAAACACAGCACGAACACTGCATGAGCAAGAGCGATTTACATCACTGCTAGACCTGATTTAAAGATAAGGAAGATTTTATATTAAGGACAGTAGAAAACTACAATAGGTGATGCGTTGCTTTGAATCTCTGTAAATCTATGAGAGATGGAAGACAGACTAAACAGTGTCACCAAAACTTGCAGTTTGACAGCTCTGTGCACGTCTCATTCTGGCTAGCATATGCACACAAGCCAAGCGTGCATCAGGTGCTCTGAGGCCATGCCATTTTTTCTTATTTTTCCTTTGCATATTGCAAGTAGGCAAAGTTTCCACAAACGCATCAAGTATACCTTCCATAATGACGGTATTAATTACGCGCTAGTACGCTTCAGGTTTCCGCTGTTTCAATTAAACGTTTCAAATGTCTGACCCATAATTTGATTTGCACAAATCAACTTCTAACGTTCTGCTTATTTTCACTTCCTACAGTCAAAGTTTTTGGGACTAGCATCCCACAATGTATGACAGGAGATACATCACACACACTACGTTTCATCGCACCGATGTTAACGTGATACTTCTGAAGACTACTGAAAAAATACTTTAAATACTCTGTACTCGTCCCCTTAACAGCCAGCAAACAAACGAGCATATGAATGAGACAAAAGAGCAGGAGAGGGGACGGCTTAAGAAAAGGGTCTCTACAACAGCACACTCGTGGAAAGTACTGTTTTCATCTGCTGACCATCACAGTATCTCGTGAAGGCGTCACCTTTGCACGTTCCTTTACGATTTATGGATAAGCCATCTTAAAAGTAGCCTGCAAAGGGGAAAAATCGGTCTACATCCTTTCAGCTGTTTATGACATAAGGCGGACAGAAAGAGGTCTTTGAAAGAGACCAAAGGTACGCCTGAAACTTACGAGCCTTCCAGGAACAACAAAGATCCCACATTCTTATGTCCCTGAAGTAAATACCTAACAGGGGGAAAAAAGACGCGGGCTTCTCTCTTCTCTCCT